CTACCCACTCCAACCATCGAGATTTGGCATCCTTATTCTCACTTTCTATTTCGTTGTCATCATCAAATTTAGCCCTAGGATCATGCCTATCTTGCTTCCTAACATTAGGAACTATTTTTGATTGTCCTTTTGTAAGGTTACAACCACCGTATCCTGCCTATCCATTCTATCCATAATTTTTCCAAATACTACATTCATCCTCTCAAATTATTGTTGCATTGCTTTCAACATGAAGAATTGATTTTTCTCCTGTCTAGATGTAGATTCTCCTTTGTCGGCCATCTTAATAAATAGAAAAAATTAATTCCTCACTTTTTTACTCAAGTGTTTCACTTAGTATTGATATTTTCTCTATAATAGACTCAACACTCTTGCCTTTTCCCTCTCTATGCTTCCTTTGTGAAGTTCTCTAATGAACTAACTAAACACAATCAAGAATTTAGTCTTTGTAATATTCAATCCCACAAGAACTCTAGAAATAAAAAGGAACAAGACTCGAGAAATGACTCACGAAGGAAAGATTAAAAGAAGAATGAAAATACCTCGAGAACTTCAAGAAAATATCTTTTGAAATTGGTTTATACCTTTTCACAACAAGATTGATTCCGAAGGATGATATATGTATCAAATAGTAATAAAGATGGTATGTTTTAGAAAGTAACACAACAATAATTTGAAGGGTTTCTTGAAATTGAATATGCTTCTCATGAACTTTCATTGCTTTTTCTCTTGAATTTTTATTGGCATTTTCTTGAACTTTCTTTGCCTTTTCTTTTTGAGTGTTCTTTTCTGGTTTTTTATTTTTATTTTTGTTTTTTTTTTTTTACGCAAACTTAATGGAAAAGATCGAACACAAGGCAAGAAATCGAAGAAAAATTGTGTTGGTGCACTTGTGTTAATGCGATAAACGATTCCTGAATATTCTTGGTGTGATTATTTTGATGTGAATGACTCAAAATAAAGACTCGACAATGAAAACACAAGAAGAACTGGGACTAAAAAAAGAAAGATAAAAAAAATCCAGATTTTAAAGCCAAAACTCTAATATCGATGGATGTGAATCACATTGCAGGATGTAAGGTGAAACTCACACAAGATTTGATACGAATCCAAGAAATCTAAAATTAGAGTTATAACCTTGACCAAATGATTTCTTGAATCATGAACCAAGGCTTAAATGTTGAACATCATCTACATAATTCAATTAAGAACAAGATTGAAAACAAAAATCTCATTTTATAATTAATCTCTCAAATAATGTGTTGTTCCTTGTACAATGAATATACCATATATGACGGACTTAAACAATTATAATTAACTTATAAAAAAACTAGATAAATATGACAAAATAGAGGTTGACTTAAACTAAAAAACTAGATAAACATTATAAAATAATAAACCTAATTAACATATACAACAAATCTGAATAAGACTAAAATATTGTGAAATAACGAAAATACATTTAAATAAATTCAAAATAGGAAAAATACTAAAGTAGACTTCTAAACAACGGAATTTGACCCTAAAAGTTTGGCAACATCATCCAACAAACATGTTTAAAATAAAAAACGCTTTCGAATTGTAGTAACAAACAAAAAATCCGACAACCGAGTTAAAAGTTGTGTATTTTTGTACGTCCTCCTTACTCTTCTTTAGCTTGAATCAATTGCATTAAGGTTGACGCTTCCTTCACGCACATCTTGAAAATTTGTATCTTGCTTGTTGTACTTGAACTCTCGGCCTACGTAGTTTGTATAAGTTGTTCCATGACTTCTTTAATCTTATTTGCTCTTAACCTAGTTATCCGTCCCCCCGAAACACTCAATGGATCCTTGGGAGCTTGCCCTACATAATTCTTATCACTTATTCTTGTTTGTTATGTTCTACGTCAACCGTGGTGGAACATGGTAAGCAATCGCTGGTTGACCACCACAAACACGTGAATGTCATGATTGCTATTTGCCATCTCCTTCAACTTTTAACTTTTTACAATTTGGCACCAATTTCTTTTTTTTTTCCTTAAGGTTTTTGGTCCTTTTTCTTCCAAATCTTCATTACTAATCCCACAACTTCTAAAGAGTCAACATTGGTACCGGAACCTTCGTAATCATCCAAAATTGGTCTTCCTCAAGTTCTGAAAGTGTGCAATCAGTTTCTAAACTTTTTATAAGTTAAATTTAGCTCCCAAAACTTGTCACTTTATTTCTATTACTTTCTTAATACTTGGTATCAATCCCATGCAATCTGGTTAGTATTCAAATTTCTATGAACCAATTCCAACTAGGCTCAAATTTTCCTTTTTGTTCCAAGTATATCCAGGTTCAAATTTTACCTACAATGATATTACATTACACTCAAGTATAAATTCGCTCATTTACAAATATAAATAAAGTCTATGAACGTGGATAAGTGTGTAAAATACTCTTGTCAACTCTTATGACAAGTTTAGTTCGAACAAAAGTTCAATCAAATTTTTATATCCCATATATCATTGGATACTTTTAGATTCAAACCCAACACAAACTTTATTCGGAGTACTATACATGTCCATAACATTAGTCTTAAAGCTGTTGTCATTTAGAGATATGGGACATCTTTCTCCTAAACTACTATTTGAGACTTGGTGTGAACGTGCAAAAGCTGCAATCAAACAACAATGATGTGTATAGTATGCTAGACAAAAATGACGAAAAAAATTCAAAATCTAATTATCAACCTTTGGTGACTACAATAACATGATTGTTCGGGAAACATGTCTTATTGTTCTCTTTAGGAGTCTCGTACACATGTTTATAACATATAATAATATTATATCTTGTAGGTTATAGACATTCATATTACATAAAGGATATGAATCGTTAAAAGTTTACTAGAAAAAATATTTAATGAAAGAAAAATAGTAAATTATTCTTCTGAGTGCACTATAAAAATGGACTCATTAAAATCCCATGTACAAGAGATCACAAATCACAAACCTAATATAAATCACAACTCTTTCAAATTATCTCCGACTTTTTCACTCAAATATTCAGACAATTTCCATCTACCATTTTATAATTTGTTTGGATTTTGCAAATGATGGACAATTCTTGAGGGCCCTCTCAATGGCTGTCACCTCCTGGATACCACCAATGGCTGCTTTGTACACTTTCTTACATTCTCTCATTGATTGCACATTAGGACTTCCCCACCTCCCTTCAATAATAGAATTCTCTCTCTCTCTTGGATCCTGAAACTATTTGTATTTCTTCGGCATAAAGTAAGCAAATAATATATGGACTCTATTAAAAGGCAACATTTAGGATGTGGAGCTGTCAGTACAAAGTATAGTACAATTATAGTCCATCAATATACTTATTGAGCTGCTTTTTTAAGTAAATTTTAATTTAATTCAATTTGTAAATTAGTTATGTCGTATTATATAATCGGGCACCAGATTTTACCAAGTCATTATCATCTGTGTCTATTGGCAAGTATATCGTCTCCCCAACTTTCCATTTTTCAGGATGCTTTTCTAGCCTTCGACTACCGACTTTCGCGTGAGCTTCTTAGAGAGTAAACTACATATCATCTAGGCAGTTAATAGCTTCATTGTATTATCAACCCTATAACGATGAGGAACTTAAAGGATATATTGGACAGGTTGGACTATTATAAACTTGAATGGATTATAAGCAACAAAGACACGAGGCAAAATTTATTAGATATCAATGTTAATGGGTCCACTTCATATCTTCGCATGTGTCAAGCCTTAAATAAAAATGACAAAAAATAAAAAAGATTTGACTTGTAATTGACGTAAGAGCGTATATTTGACAATGATCGGTTGAAGATTGAGAAAAAAAGAGAAGAATTGAGGACAGAAGAAGTTTACTCTTATAATCAAGAGTTGTGAATTACATTGAATGAACAAGTCTTTTATTTATAGAGTGAGAATTTTAAAATAAAGTTTTATTCAAAGTATGTTTATTTTAGTTAGATTAGATTAATTTTAATAATTCAATAAAGTTATAGTTTATTAGAAGTTTATATGATTATAGATTCTTTGAATTTCATTCGTCATCATTTCTTTTTGTTTTTCCTTCCATTTTTTTTTTTTTTTAATTTTCAATTGTTCATTGTCAAATATATTCTCCAGCGTCAATAGTGCATGACGAAAACACTACTTTGATGGATGACTCGTCTACTTTTATCCAATTTAATGTCGCAAACATAATGTAATGAACTATGAAACCTGTCAATTTTCTATTGTATGTGATAGATTACAGTACATGCATGCTGTTGGGTACATGGCAAAATGATCAAATGTGGTTTCTGGATTTTATAACCAACATAGTTTAAGTAATTAAATATAATTTCTCAAATAAGTTGAGTACTTAGAAATGGTTGGTATATGGGTATAAAGAAAGCGAAAGTCTTGACATCATCGTCACTTATTTATCAAAATTCATGTACATCTCAAGCCTTTAATACAAAAAAAATATTGGAATAGTACACGATAATTTAAATAAAAAAAAGGTCCCCTCTCTAATTAATAGCTCGACTAGGTTTTTTCAATCTAACTTACCAAATTCGTACGACTTTTAAATCATAATGTATACCATGCATGCTGTTGGATACATGGCAAACTGATCAAGTGTGGTCTCCGAATTTATAATCCACCAACTGAACATGAACATGCTCCCAATAATTTATAAAGAAGAAGACTAGAAAGGGACACACCAAGGCCCCATAAGCACAGAATATTTAGTCTTCTATTGCTATTAATTCTTTAATACTTGACATACAAATACTTTCCCTCACAAATATGAAAGACCCTCCTCTTTTAACTCACTCTATGGATCAAGGCCCATGTTCTCAACACATGACTCTCATCATACAAATCTAAATTATTGAATCCTAAAACCCAGAAAAATAAACCCATTAATATGAACTTTAGAAAGTTTCTACATGCATTGTGTACCTGTTTTCTGTAAGCCCTGCACTTTTCTTGTTCATTGATGGCAAAAAAGAAGAGCTGGTTCAGCGTATTTAAGAGATTTTTCATCTCGGAAACGTATTCGAGATTTGAAAAGGTAAGCAAATCTGCTCATGTTTTGTTAAGAATTAATGTTGTTCGAAAATTATAAAACTTAATTTCATCGAATCTTTATCACAAGGATAAGAGAAAGAGAGGGGTGTTCTTCAAATTCGTTAAGAGGAAACAATTAGTTTCAACTCAAAGAGAAAGGACACCTGAGGAAGCAGAAGAGCAGAGCATTCATCACGATGTAAACACAAATGTTGCAGAATCTGATCATTCTAATAGCATCATTCAATCTGCTGATCAACAGGAGGATACAGAAAAATCATCTGAAATCGACGTTAATGCGATCCCTCTGCAACTTTCTCATCAGGATGTCAGTGGAGTTCAAGATCTCGCTGCCACCAGGATTCAAGCTGTTTTCCGCGGTTACCTGGTAAGCTTGATATTATAAGAACGAACAACCTGGGTTTTAGTCTCCCCCTGATATTGAAAAATCATGCGCTCTACATGTGAGAGACGTGTTAAAAATTACATTCCTGATTTTTGAGCTTAAGCTTTTATATGAAATGGTTTCAGAGTTACAAATATTCTTATACGGGCGATGCAGGCAAGGAAAGCACTACGAGCACTTAAAGGAGTCGTCAAACTTCAAGCTCTTATTCGAGGGTGGGGGGTACGGCGCCAAGCTATTAACACCCTCAAGTGTCTGCAGACAATTGTAAATATCCAGTCAGAAGTTTGTGCAAAGAGGTGTGAAAGAGTTAAGGGCACTCAACATTTTCAAGAATATAAGCCACAAGATTTGGGAGAAAAGGACATAAAGGTAAGCTTGAAAGCTACTTTTCTTATTTGGGTAAAAAATTATTCAGTGAATTCAAGAAATAACATTTAACTATATGGTTATAGAATCCTATAGGTTAATCATTAGCCAAATGTGAATTTTTTCACCTCAATATCAACTACGTCATTTATTGCAGATTCGTTTCGAATTCTCAAGATTATTTAAGTCTCCAATCTTCCATAACGTGTTTACTATGTTGGATTAGACGGGATTAGACGGGTCAACGGACTAAATTTGTTGCATCTTTCTCTTTGTTAATTTTGTCCAGTCTCATCAAGTCCAGTTTACACAAAATGTTTCCAATGAATAGATGTGTACAAAATGTAATTCTTATGCATTTGTCTCATTATTTGTCCTCATAATTACCTCATTCATGACCAGATAGATTTAAATAGCCAGAAAAGGTGGGATGACAGCACATTAACAAAGGAAGAAGCAAAAGTCCAGATCTTAAGCAAGAAAGAGGCTGCTATTAAGAGAGAAAGGATAAAGGAATACTACTTGCACCATCGGGTTAGTTTCTCAAAAGTGACTTTTGAACGTAAAACATTTTTAACAACGAATTATCACCGCAACAGAAAAAAATTACTTGCAGAGATCAGCAGAATCAGAACGCGACAAGGTATCCGGAAGACGAAGATACTGGTTAGAACAATGGGTAGATGCCCAACTAGCTAAAAGAGATGATCTCGTAAACTTGGACACGGCTAATGCAAGAAACAACAGAGATGACCTTGGGAACAGACTTCTCAAGTTAAGAATTATGCAAAAACAATATCAATCAGAACATCAGGATTCTACGCCAAGAAAATCATTTTATCACAGAAAACAGCTATCGGTAGGGGAAAACAGTGATTTTCTAGGTTCTCCTGCCATTCCTACATACATGGCAGCCACCGAATCTGCCAAAGCAAAAGTCAGATCAATGAGCTCACCAAGATTAAGACCAATAAATATAGACGTTTGTTCTGAGATTAATTCTCCATATAAGCAGAGGCTCTCTCCCATATCATCGATCAATAGTGAGTTGACGAGCAGGAGTTGGATTCGGAATGCTGTTGGTTCGTCAGAAAGATCTCCTCAGTTGAAAGGTTTAGCTGGTCCTGTAAAATCCAGCAGAACTATAAAGGACCTCCACCTGGATTTTGAAGGTTCATTACCAAACTGCGATAGGCGTTGCACCAATTGATAATGCAGATTCGTGGGGGCAATAAATTGTAATGCCTCATCTGGTTTTGAGTGTGTATTTTATTTGATATGGTAAAACAAACTTTATGAAATTATATTTCTTGTGATCAATATATATACACCATTTCAACGGGAATAATCCTCCAAGGACGATAATACTTAGGAAAGTCGAAATTTTGTATATAGTTCATCCACTATTCTGTCCTTAAAGGCACTCATGAACTCAAATCTGTCCTTAAATTTCACTTGCTGGGAATAAAAGTTTCAAAATCCTATAAAGCAGGGGCACAGACCTCATTACACCTTCCTAGTAATAAGATAATCTAGACTATGTATTTATTTTATTCTATTGACGTCCTCAACAAATAATATGGAACAAAATGAACAATGAAATTCTATTTTTGACAAACTGATTGTCAGCAAATTAGAACAATCCAAGAAAGCCAAGAATCAACGATTGAAAAGTTCGACACAATAAATTATTGAACCAAAAACCAAGACAATTGCTAACAATATCCTGACCCATGATCACAAAACTTATGAACCTTAGTTGAATTTGTAGAACGCCACAAGAATTTAATTCTTGATAAGTTCAAAATTAAAAACAATGAAGAACGAGAAGTAAGCAAGTTAGTCTCGCGATAATAACTCAATAATTGTGTCTTTTACAATGAAAAGAATGAGTCATATTTATAAGGAACCCATGTAAACCTTAGTCTAAAAGGAAATAAACTCGAACAGATTACAAAAGATCCCAAAAAGTAGAATTCTAACATAATTAGGAAATTTGCGTCTTGAAAACCACTATGCAGCCGCATAGTATTATTACATGTGATCGCATACACCAATTTTGAACTGCCGTTGTATTTTCTGCAATAAGCTATGTGATTGCATAGCTTGGTTAACTATGCGGTTGCATAGGTAACTCGACAAGACCTTCCTTTCGTTACTTGAATCATGTTGATCTATCTGGTTTTTTCTCCCGAGTCCAACACAAAACTTGTTCCTTTGCTTGTCGTGATCAGCGTTTCGTCCACCATAACTTGAGCAAGCAATCCTATAGCTTCCTTGACTTGTTCGCTCGCGACCTAGTCATCGGTCCTCCTTCAACGATTAATGGATCCTTGATTGGACTTGCTCTTGTATCATGGATCACATCATCCCCTCCCTCTTTGAAAGGATTCATTCCCGATTCTGCACCGCATCAAAGAGAGAAAGATCAGAAATATTAAAGGTAGCCAAAACATTATACTCACCTGGAAGATCTAATTTGTAGGCGTTGTCATTGATCATTTCAAGGACTTACAATGAACCATTTCCCCACGACTGCAACTTCGACTTTCTTTATTCTGGAAAACCCTCTTTCCTCAAGTGTACCCAAACCCAACCTCTTGATTCAAATGTAACGCGCTTTCGTCCCTTATTTGCTTGAGAGACATAGTGCTCATTTTCTTCTCAACTTGCAACCTTAACTTTTCATGGAGTGATTTCACCAAATCGGCTTTCTTCTTTCCATCTAAACTACCCCTTTCATCTACAGATAAAGGAATTAAATCCAAAGTTGTTAGTGGATTAAAACCATATACAATTTCAAAAGACGAGTAAGAAGTAATAGAATGCATAGCCCTATTATATGCAAGTACTATAAATGGCAAGCAATCCTTCCAACTCTTTAAATTCTTCTAACTATAGTAATTAACAATTGTATCATAGTCCTATTAACTAGCTCAGTTTGCCCATCCATTTGTGGGTGACAAGTAGTAGAAAACAATAGTCTAGTTCCTAACTTATTCCACAAAATTGTCCAATAATGAATAAGGAATTTAACATCCATATCCGATACAATACTTCTAGGAATCCCATGTAAGCGCACTACTTAAAGAAAAAATCCGATATATTGGTGGCATCATCGGTTTTATAACATTGAATGAAATGTGCCATCTTACTAAATCTATCTATCACCACAAATATAGAATCCCATGATTTCTTAATCCTAGGTAAACTCAACACAAAATCCATAGAAACATCAACCCAAAGTTCACTAGGGACAAGTAATGACGTATATAAAGCTTGAGGTAAAACTTTAGATTTCGTCTTTTTACAAGTTG